ATATACACACACATATACATATATATATATACAACTTAAACTCAAGGTGAAACAATGGAATAATATGCGTATAGTGTAAAATATATAACAAATAAACATAGTAAAATATATAAAAACATAAACAGCAGACACCAGATTAACATTTGATATGATTTAGTGATACTTATTGTTCAAAATATTCTCAAAAATGTCATAATTTTAAATGATTATCATAAAAATGTATTACACATAATGCAGGTTTGAAATAAAGATCATGGAATACTTAGTTAGGGTTGGAAAAGATGATGAAATAGTTAAGTTTAGGAAAGATTGTGGATTGTACGTATATAAATAGACTTCATTGGATATCTTCATATTCCAGCTCATTCATTTCGGAGGTATTCATGAGGACAGTGTGGGTGGAGCCTCACAAAGTCGACGGCGGGCTGCGACAGCAGAGTCAGCGCCGACTGGATGCGACATGTTGAGTTCACATCCGGCAGGAAGGACATGATGTCGTCCTCCGTCAGCGAGCCTTTGACCTGCGGAGGAGGACGGAACATGGAGGCCGGACAGTTTGGCATCCAGAGAGCGAAGTCCAGCTGGAGGAATCAAAGAGAGAGAAGTCAGCGACATATTAATATCCTAAAGGTCTCCAGGTGTTGTTTTTAAAGTGGTACACTGATGAACGTCCTCCATTGATGTCACTTGAGTCACAAAGAAGTGAGACATGCTGTTCATCTCTGCCGCTACTGTCGTAACACACCTGAATCTCACACACACAGGACTGCTGGCAGATCGAGTTGCATTGTGGGTAATGTAGGCGGCGGGTTTTGATGGAGGAGGAAGAGTGTGTGGAATAAAAAAAGACGACATCTTGTCGTTTTGGATCCTTTTTCTTTTGCAAACTTTGGAGAACTCTTTTAAAGGAAATCTCAAATATGGTTCATTATAAAATGAAGAGGACTCTCAGCTCTAACAGACCATTATTTATTTAGATTATTTATATTTACATAGAACACAAAAACTGTCCGCTAATTTGAGACTGTTTTAAAAAAATAAATGAGACTTCAGGAACCTAAAATAGTGAGTTTGAAAAGCATCTTTTAAAATCGCCCACCTGGGAGAAGTTGACAGCAGCGTGTAGAGCCGAACAGGAGAAGATGATCATGGTGACGAACGTGGACACTTGTGCTCTGGTTTGAAGGGACGGAGGGAAACCTGGGGGGGGGGGACAGGAGACGGTTTGTCTTCTGCTTGCTCTCTATGACATCATCAGGGCACAGATTGTGGATCAGCTGTAACAAACAAACACCTGAGCTGTGGTTGAAGCTGTGAGCGTTGATGTCGGCGATCCAGAGATGAAGCTCAGTGTCCTGCTGCACCTCATCGTCTCCACTGTAATAGAGATCCACCCAGCTGACCACGAACCTGCAGCGCGCGCACACACACACACACACACACACACACACACACACACACACACACACACAGTATAAAACCACAGACTGTATGTAGAGGTGGACGTCGTCGTCGTGACATCACTCATTGGTTTGTGACGTTCTGAAGCCTCGAATTCAACGTTTTGTCCGTCGCCATCTTGTTCTTTTACAAGCAGTGAACAGGAAGTGACCATATCTGAACTGAGGAGTGACAGAGACGGCGTATACGTCAGAAACACTTTAACTATTAAAGTAGCAGAAAACACCAGAGTAAATGTGTTCAGTTACTTTAAATCACTGTTGAATTCAAATTTGAGGAAAAAGAAGTCAGTTTGAGCTTTTCCTTTATTCTCCAGCATTCTGTGAGGTCAAACTCGTCTTTTTCTTTTCATTTCCGCCACAGTTTGGCAGCACATCATGATGAATGACAAAAAACAAGATCAGGAAATCTTTCTCATGTGATGAAAGCTGGAGGATAATCTTCTGTGATCTAAAGTAGACGCTGTGGATCATCGGTTTCTTCCTCTCTCAGCTGCACTGATCACCTGGTGGAGGTGCGTTTGTTTACCTGTGCAGGGCGTCCCAGACTCTCAGGGCGTCCTGGGCGTAGTAGCTCCGAGGCAGTTTGTCCACGCCGCGGTGCCTCAGGTCGTCAGGGACACACAGAGACTCATAACGGATCCTCTCTGAGGCCCGGGACAGGAGGACAGGTAGCGCCTCCAGACCACAACCCGACGCCTTGAGGAACGAGACAACACAACAACAGATTACTGCACCACACCGGTCTCCACACCACCCGCTTTAACACTTCTGTTACGACCGATGACGAACCTTATCGAACACCCCGTTAGCAGCCAGCAGCGTCATCCGGGCCTGGAAGTTGATCTGTAGTGACGTCCTGACGTGAGGCATCAGCAACTGTCCACAAAGAAGACAAAACACGCCAATAAACAACATGATAATGTGGAAACATTTGGAGACTGCTGAGGGTGAAGACTGGAAAGTTTGGGTTTGAGTTTGAATCTTTTCATCATCAAACCAGTTTAGTCAAAGATGCTGATTTCAAGCAACAACACAATGCAACAATAATGAATTAAACCTAAATCGAATGCTCAAATCAATGTTCTCTGTATGATCAGCTTCGTTTCCGGTGTGGTGAGTTTGTCTACCTGGTGCAGCGGGTGCGGCTCTGGAAGCTGTCGCAGCGTGGCCACGCAGCACAGCTCTGCCAGCATGTGAGTCCTCAGGTAGTGGGAGGCCAACTGGTGACACTGGAAGTCTGTGCTGTGAACCCAAATCTTAGCCAGCAGCCAATCGCAGCCGGGGTCGGAGGGCAGGAAGACCGGGTTCTGAGGGCCGGGAGTCTGCTGCAGCTGAAGGAGGAAGTACATTTACTCAAGTACTTTTCAAGTCCACATTTGAAAGGTGCTTGTACTTGATTTGAGTCTTCAGTTTTATGCCACACTGCGGCATCACCTGAATCAAAACACCTGCAGTTCACCTGGATGGCGATGGGGACCAGCTGTCCCTGTCGGTTCAGGTGGAGAAGGCACAGCGGGGCGGACAGGTACGTCTGCTTTCCGTTGATCACGTTGGCCGGGACGCCGTCCAAAACCTCGTAGTCCAGCAGGTAAATGTTCCCCCTCTGTCACATATCAGAACATCAAGATAGAGCAGCTGTATCAAAGGGCACAGCTGGCAACAGCTGGAAGTCAGAGAGCGACATGCACACCTCTAGCTCCTGCTCGAGGGAGGAACCTCCGGGCAGGAAGGGGCGGAGCGTGTTAGAGGTGACGGACAGGTTTGGAGGGAGGAGGCGGGTCTGACGCAGCATCAGCGGGTTACAGCCGTTCAGACACTGGTAGCCAAAATACCAATCCTCCATCCAGTGAGCCTTAACGAACCCTGAGAGACAAATTAACCGATGAACAGGAAGTGACCATATCTGGACTGAGGAGGAGTGACGTAGAGACGCCGTATACGTCTCTTGTAGAGACCTGTCAATCACTGTGTAGCCCCGCCCTAAAGCATCCCCTGCTTTATGGTCTGTTTGACTCTAAATGGACCATAATGTACTAAATGAACATCATGCTGTATTGAAGAAGACTTGAAACTAGAGATTGAGACCATAAACTCATGTTTACAATGTTTACTGAGGTAATAAATCAAGAGAGAAGTAGAGTCATTTTCTCATAGACTTCTATACAACCAGAGGAGTCGCCCCCTGGTGGCCACTAGAGAGAATGCAGCTTTAACACATGAAATTTTGGCTTTACTCCTATTAACTCCTGTTAGCTTTAGCCTCAGTCTGTTAGCATGATATCCTGACCTGAGACCTGTTAGCTTATATCATACTGCGGTTTGTTTCCCCCTCTGGTGGCCGTGGTTTTCACAGTGTGGTGATCTTGTTTTCTTTCTTACTGGCGGTGTTGTTCTGGTGTCCGATGTGGGCGAAAACCGTCTCCAGCTCTGTGAAACTGGACCAGGCCTCCAGTCGGCCGGAGAAGCCTTTCAGGTAGTGCAGGTTAGCGGCTGAACTGAGGACAGAGAAGCAAACACAACTCATCTAATGAGTAGCTCTACCTGGTGTTTGTGACTCATTAAGTGTGTGACGTCACCTCTTGTGTGTGTAGCTGAGGTTCGGCCCGAGTTCAGACAGACTGTTGAGGTCGACACATTGAGGAGCGCCATCGACGAAACTACGCCATCTGCAATATAAACACAAGAAGAGAGTTTGTTGTAGTGTGTGAAACAGTTTTACACAAATAAATGTTCTCATAGATTTGGGTTTAACTTCTGAAACTCCCCCTCCACGTGGCCCTCAGCATGAAAACCCTCAAAACGTTATTCTAACAGAGATCCCGACATTTCACGAAGATATCAAACGTTTCTGTTTGTTTTGTACCTGATGAGCTTCTGCTGAAGCTGCAGCTGTTTGAGTCGCTGCTGCTTCAGCTTCTCTTCTGTCTCGTCCTTCAGCAAACACACTGGAATAAAGGTAGTAATACTAATGAAAACGATGTAAAAACCATACTCTGTTACAGTAAAAGTACTTAAACCACACTGTAAAAATACTCTGTTAAGCTAAATGTACAAATACTACACAGTAAAAAGACTCTGGTACAGTAAAATGTTCTTTCAGCAAAAGTGTGTCAGTATAATCAGTAAAATGACGTTAAAGTATTCAGACTGTGAGGGGATCTTCTTCTCTATCTTTTAAAGGGAACGTACACTTTCCACTCCTCAGCTCCACGTCGCCCTCTGCTGGTCGCAGCCACCGGTCACACGGGAACACCTGTACCTGTGTATCCCTCTCAGGCTCCGCCCCCGTCCCACCTCGCCCCTCCTCCTGACTGTCTGCCAGCTTGCGGACCTCCACCCGGCTGCAGTGCCAGTCCAGGTCGGGGAATCCGGTCTGAGCCTCCAGACGAAGTCGAACCAGAACCAGACGACCAAAAGGACCGTCGGCTCGGACCCGAACCGGACACGACTGTCAGGAGGAAGCGATCGTCATTGGTAAATATTCTATGAAAAGGATAACTAACATTTAAAGAGTCATGATGAAACTCACCGACCCGGGCAGGAGATGATGGTCGCCCTCGCTCACACTGATGGGCGGAGTCTCCCCCTGAGAGCCAATCAGGTTGAGCCACAGGCGGCTGAAGGTTCCACAGGTGTGACCAGGTGAGGTGTGGATGGTGACCTCAAAGTCTTCCAAGGAGGCCATCATGTCGGACATGATGGTGAGACAGCTGGTGAGGACAGGGAGACTGACTTTATGACCCGTTAGCATGATATATCATGACCTAAGACCTGTTAGCTTCAGGTTGTTAGCATGATATCATGACTGAGAAACGTTTAGCGTTAGTCTGTTAGCATTATATCTACATACAAAATCCAGCTGTAGACTGTACATTTCAACACAAAGGTAGGCTAACATTATAGATATCCATGCTTTGCTATAACATTGGTGAGCTAATCTTTGTCCTGATTGTAGAGTTGGTATTTGGCTTCTAGATCTAAAGGTCCACACACTGCTGCTTGAAAAAAAAACTTTATTTTGTGTTTAAAATGTATTCCATGTTAAATTCTCCTCCTGCTGACTCTGATACCAGCTCATTTGTTCATCTCTCTGATATTTGACTTGGAAATGAGCTACAGTTAGCATTAGCGTGGGCGTCGTGTCCAACGACAAAAACTACACTGCATTCTTTTACTCGAAAGGTCACTTCCTTCTTTTGTTGACGAGGGAACTTCCTGTTCTGAGTTTAACTGTCGGAGAGCAAATACAATCTGTCAGATATTCAAACAAAATATAAGAAGCAGCTTTTTGTCCATTGAATTTAGAAATGGAAACAACAACTTGAACCAATTTACAGGTCTGGTTCTCTTCAGATATCAACCAATAGGAGGACATGTTGCTCAAAATAATGAATAGATATTGAATATTTCTTCAGGCAGTTTCGGCGCGTATGCAACTCAAAAGAGGTTTTGTTTTTGATGAGCAGAAGTTGCAGTAACATTATATTTTAGAGCTCTCGAAGGTAAAATATCAGATTTTATCAGATTTATTTCAAAGAAGGTAAATTAAGACATATAACACTTGATTTAACTACATACAAGACCATTTAAAACCTCTAAGGACATATATATATATATATATATATATATA